TTTAAATAAAAGAACACTTATTGCGGCATAACTATAATGGTTAGACATATGCTATCGTGACACTTTTTGTAAATAATAATGTGCTCTACAAAGTCGTAGTACATTATTTTATTCTATCATCAATAGTTTTCTTAGGGCACGCGATGTAAAGAATATTTTAGGTAATTTTTTTACATCTTGGGTTACATTATTGGAGTTTTAGTAAGGATCCCTAATTTTTTTCAAAAAAGATTATAGCCTATGTCACTCGGGAATAGTGTAGCTTCCAAGCAGTGAAAGAATTTTTCAAATCGGTTCAGTTATTTCGGAGCCTATTCAATACAAACAAATAAACAAATCTTTCCACTTTATAATATTAGTATAGATTCACGTTTCGACGTCGGAAATGATCTATTTATACGTTGTATAGACTTCTCTCCCACTCGCTAATGAGCAATGTCTTCGGCCCTTTCAACCTTATATACACAAACATAAATACATAATATTTATAAAATTTTACAATCCCTTAACCGAATCGCGCCAAATTTGGGCTTCCATACCCTAATGACAAAAAACGAAACATTCGTTTTTAAGCTGTTGCATAGCTTTTATCGCAGGCTTTGAGCGCTGCAACCGAATCAAGAAATTCCGTAACGAAAATAAGACCTAACACTCCCCACTCCGCCTACATTGTAGCTCGCGTTCAACACATTCACACAGCGCGCGGCGTGACGTCGCACTGTATGCGCATCATAAAAAGTTTGTCCATTTTTCTCTCGCGCGTTCTAGCTTATGAGTGTGAAGGGGACAGTTAATGTTTTGCTTTAGTTAATGTTTATAAATATAGCGTGGTCTTATTTTATTATTGTTTTAATATTAAATTATTATTGTCTGATTATAATTGCATAAGTTGATAAAAAAAACTATGCAATAGTTTTACCGCGGCAGTCCCCGAGTGCCACACGACTTTTTATCCTCTGAATCTGTCTGTATGTCATGATCATTTTTTGCAACACATTTGGCAAATACATCTTTTCATTATATTTCAAAATCTAGTGTATGGTATTGGCGGTGATTATTTATTATAAATATTTATATTTGATTAATATTATTATATTATTATTTATATTTGAGTATCACGTCGTTTTGAAAATAAAAAAAGCTTATGTGTAGAATAATAATAATTAGTGATTTTATTTGATTGTCGCCAACAGATGACGTTAGTTGTAAAACTTAAATTGCACTATCGATGTGTGTTCCCAAAATATGTATATGGGAAATGATGATTTATTAGTTGTATTTCGTCGTACAGCGAGCAGTGTTTCACTCGGCTGGACCCGCCGGGACCTTTAATGGGCAAGTAATCGTCCCAGGATCTTCGAGGACTCATCGTCAGACCGTGATTCCTTCATGGTCCTTCGGAGCTGGACCATCCACCTGTGATTCGTTGAATATAAAGATGCGCAAAATGTATTACTGAGCTGAAAAGATAGATACATAAATCATTTCGCTCTAAAGATATATATCACTCATTTAGCTCACTAGCTCATTTAGATTACTAGCTCAGTGATCCAATTCAATTGATTGGTTTCTCAATAAAATCATTTCTTCGTCTAGATCATTAGCTAAGGATACATGAGTCGACTATTATCAAAGCCGGCAATCTGACTTTTGGACAATGATTGGTAAATCAGAAAAACGAATTATTGACTTTGTATTCCATTGGCAGTCACAAAACTCTTCGGAACGACATCTTAGATAAATAACAGGTTAACTATTAACCTTTATTTAATGCAGGTTTTGAACCGTATTCTTTGAAGGAGACTATTATATTCAAATCAATCTGTATTGACATATCAATAAATTTTTTTTGTCCAAATGCACAGATTGCCACCTTTGATAATAGACGACTCACATATATCACTCACTTTGTATTGGAATATCTACAACGGTCAGTTCAGTTTGTAGCTGTCAGGTCCTATATATACACTTAATAATACACAATATAGTCTATTTACACTGTTTTATAATTATACATTGAATATTTACAACATGCAGATTACCTACCTATTACCTTTTTTTTTTATTTTTTTTTTTCGGTTAGAGGGCCGAACCTCCTACGAGGTCCCCGCGCAAAAGGGGCGCGCGGGGTATGTGAGACTCAACGATCTGCATGGTGTTGTGAGCAGACCGCGGGCCCAAGGATTTTAGAGCCCACCCACTAAACGACTCCTCTGCACTCTTACACCCGACGTCCGATCCCCTCCGAGGTCAGAACCCGGATGAGGTAGGGGGGCTACCGCGGTCAACACTACAACCAGACGACGCGGCTCACCCCAAGGACGCCCAGCCGACGGAGCCTTCGAGGCGAATCGAAGGCTCTGAAACGTCGGCCGTCTCGGTACGGCAGCCCGTCGGGCCGCCCAGACGGTGCCGCTGGTGTCCCGGAATACCCCGCTGGATCAGAACCAGCCTGCCGGGTCGGGACGCGATACACCGTCGACCGGTCGCTCTAATCACTCCACGGCAGCGCGCTAGAGTGCTGGTAGCGCGCCGCGCGGCCTCACCCCCTCAGGTCGCCCCTTGACCTTCACCGGGGAGAGGCCGCCACCTACAGGGGACCTACCTATTACCTACCTTTTAACTTTTTTATTTAAGAATAAAGCAAAAATAAATTTAGTTTAAAAAATAAATGAGTTATGTTAAGCTTTGCACCTATAGAAATAATGTACATATTTCCTTGACAACCCAATACTTCGTAACGAAATTAGCGTGAAGTGAACGGTCATTTTCGTCAGCTGGCCACACAATACATCTATCTCACTCATTCATTTTTCTTTCATTCGCTCATCAGTTCACGAAACATGTCATGAGACATATGAGCTAGTGATCTAGTGAGCAAGAATTGAGTTAGTGATACATTCGTAGCTAGTGTGAGTTAGTCATACATTATATCGGTGTGAGTGATATATTTATATCTTTTACATCACTCACTCAGGAGCTACATATCTTTCATCATCAGCCTGTGTCTCTTCACTGCTGGATGTAGGCCTCTCCCATAGTCCGCCACAATGAACGATCCTCCGCCTTCCGCATCCAATCTCTCCCAGCATATCGCCGCAAGTCATCGGTCCAACGGGCAGGGGGACGCCCAACGCTGCGTTTACACATCTTTAGTTAAATATTAATAACCATATTATTATAAAAAGCAACATTCAACGTACAATTAGAAATATCATTGTGATAAGCGGATCACTTATTATTTTCCATTATCGAATAATAATTCTGATAGCATTAACGGCACGACACAACGTAATAACCGTGAACTATGAAGCGACGCATGATTATGGGTTACAATATTACTGCCAGCGTTATATCATTTATATTAATATTATGTCACTTGTGTTTACGTTACGCCAGAATTTTATATATAAGTGTATATGTGAGTGGTACTGCTGTAGTATGTGGGATCACGATACACGTGTGAATAGCCCACGCAGTTGTTGAGCTCTCTATTATTTTAAGGATATACAAGTTTATAAAAGGTCAACGAACTGTGATCAAGCAAGCGAAGAATGTCTTCGAGAATTGGTACTAAGATTTTCACAATTGTACTAATGTAATATTTATAAAGTTTAATAGTACATAATGTGGACAATCACTTACCGAATGCAATGTTTATTTTAATAATTATTTGGCTCAATTTGTACTAAATCTTATGAGTCACTTGTATGTTCCGTTTTTTTTTATTGCTAGTTGGTTGGACGAGCTCACAGCCCACCTGGTGTTAAGTAGTTACTGGTAGTAAGTCCGTACGAGCCGTTTGTCTTTCTTCATTCCAAGAACACTAAAACACAAATTGGCGAGCGTAATAAACATTATCCAAGCGAATCCTAAATCATATTCCACGAGCATTTGTGATATCATTAAATTAAATATAAGGCGCAGAATGCTTTTCAACCAGCGTGGTGATTTTGAAACCCTTGCCAGGTACTTAGTGGTGGTAAAACCAGAGCATGAAAATAATTGGACTAATAATTATTACGTACTTCCTCTCGGTGGCTCGGTGAAGAAGTTTTTGGATTCCTATGTGATTAGCACTGTCTGTTCCGCGAGGATTTCTCCGACAAAGTAATGAAGATCATGCCACTATCTGCATTCTACGCATTATTACCACCCAACATCAGAAATATAATAAGCATATCTCAGGAATATATTGTTATAATGTTAATATTGGTAATAAGGGGTTCGAGTATGCAGGCGAGTGTTTCATTAGACGGTTTTCAGTAATCATTTCTTTCTCGAACCTTGAAACTTTATTACGAGGCTTAGCAAAATGATTACTGTGAGGAAAAATCATTAAAAATATTAAAATTGTTATACAATTCTTATCGCCTTCATTGATTTTTAATGAAGCATTCTTAAAAATAGTTTTATTTCTTATTGTTTTTAAGAGCTTAATGTAATTTTAACTACTAACTTTTTATATGACACTGTTATTGTTATGATCTATTACGTCGCCTCTTTTTCAATTACTACTAATATAATACTATTAATAAAATAATACAAATATAAAAAAAAACACGTGCGGCACTCGGGGACTGCCGCGGTAAAGCTATTGCATAGTATTTTTTTATCAACTTATGCAATTATAATTAGACAATAATAATTTAATATTGAAACATAATAAAATAAGACCACGCTATATTTATACAAGCTATATAAACATTAACAAAAGCAAAACATTAACTGCCCCTTTCACACTCATAAGCTAGACCGCGCGAGAGAGAGATGGGCAGACTTTTCATGATGCTCATGCAGTGCGACGTCACGCCGCGCGCTTATTCACAAACACTACACCAGCGTAACGTGTGAATGTATTGAACGCGAGCTACATGGTAGGCGGAGTGGGGGTGTTAGGTTTTATTTTCGTTACGGAATTTCTTGATTCGGTCGCCACGCTCAAAGCCCGCGAAAAAAGCTATGCAATAGCTTAATAATAATGTTTTTCTTGTGTTTAGATTCGATGCACAGCCAACATATACTCTATCTACCTGAAGAGCCTCGAAAAAAGTGCCGAAGAAGAACGGATACGCACTACCCCAGCACCACTGCCAGAGGTTCACGAGGCCGTGGTGTATTCCATACATCGCCTGCCTGAGAACAGTAAGTTTCAACGTTCCAGTAACTCAGAGACTACCGACGAAGGTTAGCGATTTATTAAGAAATTTCCCATTGCTTCTGTATGAAACGTTTGATAGTACATGTGCCTTTGCTTTATCTATACGCAAATATTTACAATATCACTACATAGTATAAAACAAAGTCGCTTTCTCTGTTCCTATATCCCTATGTATGCTTAAATCTTTAAAACTACGAAACGGATTTTGATGCGGTTTTTTTAAATAGATAGTGATTGAAGAGGAAGGTTTATATGTATAATAATATCCATTAAATAGTGGAGAAATCTATATATATGAAAATGAATTGTTGTTCGTTAGTCTCGCTAAAACTCGAGAACGGCTGGACCGATTTGACTAATTTTGGTCCTGAATTATTTGTGAAAGTCCAGAGAAGGTTTAAAAGGTAGATAAATATGACAATGCTCGGAATTAAATAAAAATAACAATTTTGTTTTTCCTTTGATGTGTCGGACGGATTCCTTTTTTTTTTTAAGTTTATTTTATACAGAAGTGTAGGTCTTTTATTTATCGATTGAGGCACTACGAAGTCTGCCGGATCAGCTAGTCAATAATAAATTACAGTTTCCGAAACGAAGCGAAGCCGGGTCGCTATATAACAATATTATGTAGTAACTGCGATAATCCATACGTTTCATTTCATTCGGTTGATGACCAAAATAGAAGTGCCAATTTTAAAATAGACGAATAAAAATTTTACGATTGCTGAAAATAAAATGTGAACGTCAAAGTGTATTTACGTGCTTCATGACATGTAAACCGTTAGTTTGTTCATCAAATTGAGGGGTGAAAAGCTATTTGGTTTAAGCGACATTTTTGCAAACATACAGGAGGGCCATTTAAAGTTTGAAAAAAATTCATAACAAAAATCTTCTTTGGCTATTTGAATGAAGTGAACCTTTTTTTTTATTGTTTATATAGGTGGACGAGCTTACAGCCCACTTGCTGTTAAATGGTAACTGGAGTCCATAGACATCTACAATGCAATGAAACAGTAATGCGTTTCGGTTTGAAGGGTGGGGCAGCCGTGGTAACTAAACTTGAGACCTTAGAACTTATATCTGAAGGTGGGTGGGGCATTTACGTCATAGATGTCTATGGACTCCAGTAACCACTTAACACCAGGTGGGCTGTGAGCTCGTCCACCCATCTAACCAATAAAAAAAAAAAAAAATTAAAAACATCGAATGTTGATACTACAAATAAAGCTTTATTTACAAAGATAAATGTTACTTACTAAGCGAAACGACGCTTAAACTACATAGCCCCTTGGACCCCTCGGAATAGTTTTATAAAACAAACAAAATGTATCTAAAAAACGTACGCATGTAGAGTATGGTTTTGTTAGCTCGACAAAGATAAGCTGTGACAGAAAATATTAATTTTCCATTCACGTTTTTATGTCTGCTAAAAGCTAAAACATTCATGAACATTCAACGGCCGTCTGGTGTAGTGGTAAGTGACATGGTCACCACACAAGGGGGTCGCGGGTTCGAATCCCGCCAAGGGAAGATATTTGTATGATAAACGTCTTTTCCAGGGTTATGGATGTATATTAAATATGTGTATGTGTATAATAAAAATCTTACATTTATTTCCGTTATCCGGTACCTGTAATACAAGTTCTCTACGAACTTAGTACGGGACCAGTTAATGTGGCGTGATTGTTAGTAAATATTTATTTATTTATTATTAATTTAAATTTGTATATATTCATAATTATACATCCATGCTCCAAAGGATACGATGCCCGATGTGTTCATATTATATCAAAGCGTAGGAAGGCATGTTTATTTTGTTCAAAGGAAATATATACCTAGCGGGTGTTCTGTTCTAATTCTGTAGGGCAGTCTTTAGGCTTAGCGTTGCCTTAAATTTCCTTACAAGGCAAACTCCGTTTTTTTTTCTATAACATGAAACATTTATTACTGCAGTCTCCGGTCACCGTCCTCGTCGAACCCGTCGCTTGCGACGAAGGGCTCGACGAGCGAACTAACCCATAGACACAACCCACTGAGTTTCTCGCCGGATCTTCTCAGTGGGTCGCGTTTCCGATCCGGTGGTAGATTCTGCGAAGCACTGCTCTTACTAGGGTCAGTGTTAGCAACTCTCCGGTTGAGCCCCGTGAGCTCACCTACAAACGTTAGGGTGAATCGTATAATAAGTTTTTACACTATTATGATTGTATTTTATACTTCTATAATCACAAATTTCGCCAAGACTACATCATAAAAAATATTAACAAAGACAAACAATATTGAATCTATTCTCAATTTGACAACAGACGTCAAGAACAAAAGTTTGACAATAAATAGTATGCATGCGTGTGTGCGTCAAATACATGGTATGTAGTGTGTGTAATGTTTTCTTTATTGATTTAATGTATCTTTTATTCATTATTTTAAAAAAATATTAGCATTGTGCACTTCTTCTCTATATTCTCTATAAGTGTGGAAAATTTCATACTCCTCCGTGCGCGCAATTTTCGTAAAAAGGGATACAAAGTTTTTGCTTCACGTATTAATATAGAGATAAATGAATAAGTAGGTTTCGAGTTGATCAGGCGTGCTCATTACACATTTACCAGCTTCAATTCTTTGTCTAGTATTATTACTATATCATGAAAAAAGGTGGCAGTCGTTAGGCAAGAACAGCACTCCCCCTGATTATCCCCTAAATGGTATTTTTATTTGCCTTGACAATATATTTGGATTCGATTTTTTCCTTTCATTGCTTTACTTGAATACTACGTGGATGGCAGATCGTTTTGTTGTCAAAAACAAAGGACGTTTTAACATAACTATGAATAGTCCGGTAATTAAATATTATTAAAATTTATAATATTATAAAATTATTCTGCATATTATTATAAAATTTTCGGCGAATCTGCGCTTACAATAAAAATATTTTGGTGCTTCTCTGGCTGAATGAAATTTTATGTTAAGGTAATTAAAATACAAAAAATCGTTACGCTTTTATACGTTGTTTCATTATCTATTTTGGTACAATTAAACTCAATTCGTATGAAGCTTCTGGTTCAATTAGCTCTCGAATATAATAAGCAATACCATAGAAAATGATCCTTTTCTTCTGTTGAATAAGTGTTTTAAATATTCAATGGCAAATTATTATATGCGATATTTTTAAAAAGTTATTAAAAATTCCTTGAGACATAAAACATAAGGTCAGATCTACTTTTAGCAAAAACCAAACACTCATTCTCGTCTAATATACTTACTTTTTATTGGTTTTAAATTTCCAAACTATTATTTTCCAATTTATTATTCAAAGACATGTTATCGTAAAAATGGTAGGTTGACTGACATATTCTCTCTAATAAAATAGAATCAACAAAAAATTGAATGTTTGCTTTGAAAATTTTAATAACCTATTTCCGATCCTCTAATTTAGTAAATTGTATCCTGAAAGTCATGTAATAATGAAAAAATCTTACCAAATAAGTCAACAATAGGATAAGCACAGCTTGGACAAGAAAGACATTGACCTATAAAGGATGTTATAAAAATTCTGGAATCTAAAAGAAAAATATTTGATTTGTGTATTGTACCAATTATGTCGTCCATGTGAGACATGGAGCTTAATGAAGCAGAATGTACAAAAACCAGAACCTTAGAAACAGCGTTTGGAAAAAAGTATGCTACTTTAAAAATAACAATACGACTGACATCGATTTTAAAGCAAAAAAACTTGATAACGTCACATAGACTATCAAAAAACTAAAATGAAATTTGGAAAGTTTTTTAATGTGAATTGAAAATGATAATTGTCCAAGTAATGTACGAGGTACACTAATAGAAGGAAATGTAGGCAAAGTTGGAGATGTTAAACTGAGATTGTAAAGATTGCTGGGATAATTCACCGAGGAAGACACAGAGCCAAACTACATATACGTATACGTGTGTACGTACTACGTACTGGTATCAATAACTAGATTGTTACTAATGTACATTAGATATTATCATTCTGCAAATATAATTTTAGATTAATTGATTGCTTGAATGAAATGAAAATACTGTGACAAACGTGTCGTCGCAAATTCAGAAGGGCTAACAAACAAAAAACGAAAGGGATTTTCTACTAATGGACGAGGCACGGATGCAAATTTCCAACAAAAATTTAAATAAAAAGATTTATTCCAAGCATCAGACTTAATTCTTTACTTCTTTAACCCAATGGACGACTGGTGGCAATAAGGCTAGAAAACAGCCCGCACTTTATTTTAAATGTAAAAAGCTTCCAACAGTTCTATAGCTTTCAAAGCGTATAGACACGGCTTCCAACCCCAACAACTAATTTTCCTTTGCTATGAGGAGTTTTATTTGAGTTACGAGTTTGTTTCCGCGGTTACGCTAAGTCTCTGATATTTTATTGGCCTTCTGTCGTAGTGAAAGGTTTACAAGGGGAACGTTAATAAAAACGTGTTTTGACTTTAATCCTTACATAAATAATGTTGGATGAAAGAAGCTAATTCAACTGAAAATTTAGTTTCATTTACACGGACCCTTTGGGATCCCGTTTTTGGATGAAAACTTTTAATTGGTCCTGATGATCTGCGAGGAGATTTGGAATATTGATTTTTGTGAATCGCCTCGGCCTTCAGTTCGGATTACCGGTACAGCCATGTTTGGATCCGGAACGACGTTGAATTCTAACAAGTTAACCGATAGGTTGATTTATACATTCAAATTGACTATATTTTTTTCTTTCATGGTCTTAAGTAGTCGCAGCTTGGAATTTATATAGAGATATATTATATAAGAAGGAGAAACTTGCTTCTATATTTCGCTTTGTTGGTCTGGTCTTAGCGACTTTAACATCTGTACCACAGGTTCCGTGTTCAATTTGGTATTCGGGGTCTGGATGTACTTGTTCTGTTTTTGTATTAGCATTATTTGTTGTCTTTGAACGTGGAATGTTTGTTTCGTTTAAATTTTGATTAATAAC